CGGACTCATCATGACATCGTTACGCCTAGAGTAGCAAACAACTTTATATTAAGAATCTGCTACCAATGTGAAGACTCAAACAAGTGATGACATTCTTCATCATAACCAGCCACCAAGAGATGGAGGCAAATGGGAAATTGCTCGTTGAAATTTTAGATTTTGGTGTTTGAATTTGAGATATAAATGTTATAAACAGAGGCATTAAAAACAGACTAAAACACACCTGACTTAGGCTTAAAATTTGAATTTGGTGCATATTTGATTAAAAGAAACTCATTTCATTTTTTTGTTCTTTTTGGACCAAAAATGTTTTGGCCCATCAACAAAGACCTTGCCCATTCGACCTTGCCCATCGTTTTTTTCCAACACAATAGAAGTTTGAAGTTTCTATCTCTTGTATAAATTTCACCCCGATCCGACATCGGCTTCCCCGATTTTCAAGAGGATCAAAAAAGAGGGCGGGTACGCTTAAACTTTGAATTAGCGGCGCCTTAAAATGTAATGAACATCATTGGCTAGACGGAACAATAATCTTCCTTCGAAACGACGTGAAACATTCACTCTTCGGGGGTTCTACGGAGTTAGAAGCTATCCGTCTCTGTGACAGAATCCATGATCAATTATTCTTTCTTTTTAATATATACCGATCACCAGATAAAAGTGTTAAATCAGTAAGTACATACAGATTTCGATGAGCTTTCATAATTTCTTTTATTACACTTGAAAAAACGATAAAACATTACTCTTCACAAGGCTGTTCGTCGTAGTAAAAGCTTGGCAATAAAATTCTTCAGTGTATACGGAAAGAGAAACAAAAGTTGAATAAATCAGTGATGAAAAATTACATGGATAGTAAACATTATCGGACAGACATTAACAAATCGGAATAGCTATTGGCATCACTGTTGGTGTCAGCAAGAAACTATTGACACTACTAGCGGGTGGAAGTATGGCTAATGACACGTCTAATTGGTGTCAATTCGAACTATTGACATAAGTATATCGAAACTCAATCTATGGTTTTAACATTTTTAACGTACATGTCCCAACAAAAACGAGACTTAAAGACGGACGTGTTTTCCCTAGCATTTTATTCCTTTTACACGAACTTCGATCGACGTTCATTGAATCCTTTTACATTTGCTGGTCAACTTTTACAAAAACGTTCCTGTTCACTACCCAAACTTTTTAATTGATTAAAACAAATACATTGTAAAATATGGATTTGTATCTGTTTTGAGAAGCTACGATCGATTTGCATTCGTGTTCACAACATGCCACTATTTAATTATCAGATTCTCCTTCAACGACAGAAGAATTAATCTTCTCTTTGTTTGTATGGCTCAAATTGAACCAACTCAGCAGCTGTTTATTCATTTGAACAATCGATCTTTTCGTCTTATAATTGACTTTAAATAAAATTAAAAAGACTATGAAAAAATCTTTTTCTGATTCGTACAAATGACATTAAATAAAAACAAGATAGTATCCGTCTCACATAATCATTCCTTTGTTTCAGCTGGAAATGCATTATTGTATGTGATTTTTGCTTGTATATAACATTCAGGACCAAAATATCCACATGAACGAATCGCTACCAATTGATATTGTAATTTCTCTAATGGAATATTTTGAACTATATGATAGTATGCACTTACCAAACCAAATGCTCGATCGACACCTTGAATGAGAAACAAAAACGTTTTATTCAATTTTCGTTATTGAAATTCTCACATGACGGTTCTTGATTTATTCTCTAACAAGTTGATATTTATTTGAAGACAGTTGAAGTTGTTTGTTAAGAAACAGAGCAGTGTTCTGTAGAACTCAAACTGTAAAGTATTGAAGTTAGTCAGCAAATTTTAAAGAAGAATTTATAAGTAGAAAGTCCAATGTGTTTTGAAATAAAAATAGTCGGAACAGTGTGAACAAAAATGTCATTTACACACTATTCTATTCTATAGTACATATTCTATTTTATAGCTATTTATTTTCACTCTTCTTATTGTTGACAACAACAAAGCAAAAATCAGCTATTACTTCTATATTCTTTTCCCCTACAGCACTGATTTATAACAAATCATTTAACAGAAAACAATAATTCAAGAGAAAAAAACCTACTCTTTTATATTTGTACGTTTGATAGTACTTCTCTTTAATCATTAAGATTTATATTATCAGGTATTTTCTTCGATCAACCAGCATGATAAAAAATAAAACTACGAATGGAGGTAAACAAGAATTTTTAAAAAACAGATGAAGTATAAAAACGAGTTCTTTCAGTTGTGTTAAGGTAAAAATCGCTTTCGAGATATGCTGATGCCAGTATCTGATACATGTTTTAGGGTTTCCAGCAAAACTCTCATAACTCTTGATCAGAACATCATTCAGAGCTGGCAAATATCTCATTCTGATCAGAAATGTTTGCTCTATTTTCTGGTATTACTAAAAGTAGTTTTCGATTTGCTTTTCAGTCGCAAAGTAAAACTTTTTCGAAGTCCAGCTTTTCACGGTTTTCAGAAAACTTTTCTAAAAACCTCCATGCTGCTTCGATGAGGACCAAATAACACTGGAACCTAATACTAGATACTGTGGGCTATCTAATGATGTGCTTAGCTCAATATCGACTTTTTATAAAAAAAAATTATTTTTCTGACGGGAGGGGGGAGGGCTTAAGTCCTTCAAGGACATTAATGACTGTTGAGTAAGATGTTTGTTTATTTTTCATTTAAATCGTAAACCAGGAAAACAGGATGATTGAAAATGAAATCGAGACTAGTCATGTCCCTGATTTTGATTGGTGGTCCTAATTAGTATGGGAATTTGAGACAAAGTGCACATTTGCACTTCATTGAAAGAAGCAAGTGTGGATTATATAAACTGATCTTTCAGGGAAACTGTTGTAGGTACTTCCTTCCTATGCATTGTATCATTGGCCTTCCTGGGTTGGAGTGACACACACATGTATCTGAGAATAACCTTTTTAATCGAAAGACGTTGAAGGTAATGTTTCTATTAAAGGATGTACGCGGAACGAGCAGCCTATCTTTTAGACGTACGATTTCGAATGCAACGGTATCGTCTTATTGACAATAAAACCAATAGGACCGCTCTATTCCGATGCCGTATTGACTTTCCAATCTTCACTAACCGTGTTAAACATCATTGCCGTTTTACATTCTGATCTTGAAAGGAAAATGCGATGAAAAAATGTAAAATGCTCTTTGACGGTGTTGTATGTGGGGTGTAGTTTGACCATCCTATTGGAAAAAGGGGTTAGAAGAATATCGTTTGCTGTTAAATCTTCGAGTTTCACGTTGCATGTAGACTCCTGCGGGGCAGCCACGAATCCCATCCCGTGGGACAGACGGGGTTGGGACAAAAAAAATTTACGGGCTCATGGGCTCGGGCTTACGGGGTCGGGACAAGTTGCAGAAAAACGTTGTCCCGTAAGTTTTGTCTTTTGATTGTAATTATACTGGAACTTCAAATGTTTAATTCTTGTAATATCGGGTGGCCCAGAATAAATGGCCCTCCTCGTATTTTGCTTATAATTTCTTTCCTTTCAATCCTTAAACCTGATCGTTTTTCCAAAAGATGCGCCGTCAACTTTTCTACAAGACTTGTCAAACTTATTTCTATTAAAAGTTAACGAGAAAAATGAAACGAAAAATATTCAACATGACGAAAAGGACCAACTTTCTAAGCTATTGTGTTTTACTAATTATGGAATATTTTAAACAACGCTAAAAATGATGAAAATGATGAAAAATGATGAAAATGAAACGAAAGTGAAGATATTTTTGAGTACTTTAAAGTGCTCTCTTTCTCCTTATGCAGTTCACAGTCCGTTCAAATCTAGGTGAGCACTGGAGAATCTGACATTCCAAAATTCACCTCAAGGTGACCAAAATCTGCTATTGTTCGGCAGGTGAATTTATGATTTATGAAGAAAGCTTTAAGGTAACGTTCACAGCTGAATCTGGCACAGGTATCATTTCTCATCAAAATAAAAGCAGACCGAGCTAAAAAGGTGCTATTTTGGCGCAAGATTGATTTTGCATTGTGCATTTAATACTGGTTGATAAAGCTTTTCAATGGCTACAAAATGCGTGTATTCATCCAACTCAATGAAAGTGGTGGAACAAAACGTTATTTCGGCTTAGAAAGTTGATCGTTTTCGTCGTGTTGAGTATTCTTCATTCCATTTTTCTCAACTTTTTATAGAAATAAGTTTGATCAAGTCTTGTAAACATCTTGCTCAACGGAATAACATCATTATTTTGCAATCTCTTATTCACAATCAACTTTCTTCTCTCCGGTGTTCGCTCCTATGATTTGATATGCGTGGTTCAACTCGCTACCGATCCACGGCCCTTTCGCACTGTTACCGAAATTTGCTTTAAATTTAATCAAGACAACTGCGATGTTCCTTCGTGTGATCAATTTGCTTTTATCCGTTGCAGCCATTGCGACAAGATTCTTTGCTTTCAGGATTTTTTCGTTAATTACCACATACATGGCATTTAACTAGAAAACCAGTTATGTCTATCGAACTTTTCATGTTTTAATGTACTTCGAATCATTTGCATTTATTCAAGAAAGGTGAAAAGAAAAGAGCATGTATATCGCTTTTAGTATGTGGAATTTATCCCCAGCAGCGAAGGCAGTACGAAAAAGGCTGAAATTTTTACCACTGATGGGCATTGGGGACTGGAGTATTAGGTAAAAAAAATCCGGTCAAACGGAGCTTTCTCTATCGCAGGGTAAAACATGCAAGGTATGGGTCCTATGGATAAAAACTTGAAAATTCAGTTTCATCGCTGCTACCTGTTTGTTTCACTTGAAAGTACACAGTCTTGGTCGTCGACTCTTAGACATGCTTCGATAAAAATAGGAGACCAATATGAGTTTGCGTTACTGAGAAAACAATTATTTCGTGTAAAAAAGCAGAAACTTTGCTATAACTTGCGAAATTCGTATCTCCACAAGAAAGCATCATGGGCCGCTCCCCAGGTAGGCTTTTTCACTCCTCACTAGGGCCTACCTCACCAACTTATTCTCACTTGAAAAGCTTTTAATCACCTCGAGAGGTTCCCTCGTTAGTCTTTGATAGTGATACGGAAAACATGACTGTAATAGCCATAGCTAGATAGGGATTTAATCCTTTTCCGTATCACTATCAAAGAATGACTAAGAGACAAAAGCAGACGAGGATAGTCTGGTTTGTTCTTCTTTTTTTTATAGGTTATTGTATGTTATGTCATTTGTCTTAAATTTAATATCTGAAGTACAACCGGAAAGGTAAGAGGTTAGGTATCGCTTGAAGACTTGATTTCTTTCAATCTTGAATCAAAAAGGATCATGCGAGTCGCTATGAAGTGCCTAGAATATTCTGTTCTAAATTTTATAGGAATCCTTCGTAAAATTCCACTGTAGCATTTACTGTAGGATTCTGTCGGATTCTCTGTGAGTTTCTCTGAGCTGTTTTGATGTTTTTGTTATCACTCTGGAACGAAAGTAGATATAGATGGGACTTAGTACATCGCAGAATTGTAACTGGGCCTACCCGGTCCGGTCTTTTGCCGGTTCAGAAATATTTTCAAACCGGTTTTGAATATTTGATCGACCGGTTTTGAATTCTTAGCATTTTTCTCTTCTTCGTTCAAGAAAATTGACGAAGAAGAGAAGAAACTTGACGAAGAAAGAAAAAAAAGAAGAAAATAGTCTGGTTTGTTCTGGTTTGATTCTCAGTTTGTTTGGTACTATTTAATCTGTTGCAGATATTGTGGTAAACTGGAATTAGGACAGTGCAGAAAAGTGATAAGTTAAAAATAAAATAAGCAAGTAACAGAAATACGAAAAAGCTGGTGAAAATGACTTTTTCCTTAAAGATATTTTGATTTACTGATAAAAGGCTTAAGTCCAGTTTTTTGCCGGTTTTTCACCGGTCTAAAAAGATTTTGGGGCTGACCGGTCCGGTCTCTTATTTTTAGACCGATTCCAACTCTGGTACATCGAAATAGGCATGCACCGATACAATATGTTGGGACCCAATAATATTGATCACCCCAATATATCGGGTTGTCACAATATTATTGGATATTGGATCGTTTGAGTTTGACCTACTTTTACAGTACAGACGCACGCTTTACATCCCGTTTTTAATCAAAATATAATCCAATTAGGCATGCACCGATTAGTAATCGATATTGGGACATTCAGCAAAGTCGTTCCGTATCAGTTATAAAAAAGCACTTAGAACTGTCGAATGTCTCATTTGTATAAAAATGTTTGCTCTACCAAACTGAAGTGCTAGAAAAATACAATAAATCGAAAACGCACTAAAATCGTAGAAATAATCGACACTGTATTGTGAAACCCAGTATTATTGAATGACCAGTATTATTAGTCGCAATATACTGCGTATACCATAATATTGGGACACAATATCATTGAATAGCCAATAATATTGTACAATATCTTCAATAATGATTGGTATTGGTGCATGCCTACATCGAAAGCAGATAAAAAGTGTAAGCATTCATAGGATGAACGAAAATGCAGCGGCTGTAAGTACGAGGTCCATCATAGAATAATGCTACTTAATTTTTCGCAAATTACTAGCAACACTGACAATACAATTTCTTGTCGGTTTTAGAAAATTAAGCGATAAAATGAATTACAATATTACATGTGCCATATGTCAAGATTCGCTACTCTCAGGAAGACCAACACTTAACACTGACTGTAAGCATACGTTTCATTTTAATTGTATAGCAAAAAGTATCAAATCAAATAATAGAGAATGTCCGCTGTGCCGAGCGGATATGGATTCACTCGTTAGTGTTTTTGGCGAAAACAAATACTAGCAGACGAATTCTGACAATGTAAAAAGGCAAAAAGAAGGCGATGAATGGTTTTGCGAATAATGCACATTAATCAATCCATCTTTTGTAAATATATGTGATGCATGTAATGCAAGAAGACCAAATTTGAAAACCTCGAAACGATATCAACAACATCCTGTGCTACTGAAACAAAAGAAATCAAAGACGATATTCACAGGGAAACACAAAATAGAGAAGCAATGAATGATTCTAGATATCAAACAACAACAATTACTTCCACGAAATCCGGTCAGTTTTCATCAACAGCAGCAAAAATTGCTGACACTACTTACCAACAGTCAAATGACGATAGTTTTAGAAAACAAAAAATTATGATAGAAAATGAAGATGAGGAGTCCGATGGATGGATTTGCTTCAAATGTACTTGTGTCAATTCATCATCAATAAAACACTGTGGATGTTGTGGTGCAGGAAAAGAATCACCGATCTCCACAGTATATACAGAAAAAAATTTCCCATTATTCATAGAACCGACAGTGATGAATAAATCAACACCTACAACAACATTAACTGTTCCAACCTCGGCCAAAGACAATAACTCACCAATGAGCGATGCAGCCGAAACGATAAATTCTTTCAATTACGAGATGAAACAAGAGTACTCTAGTTAAAGATTTGTCAAGCCCAGAAAAAAATTAGTTGTTAATGACCGATCATCAAATGACAATAACAATTTAAAAAACCAAACGACGGTAGAGGATGAGGGCAATGGATGGACTTGCTCAAAGTGTTCATTTATAAATTCCTTTACGAGAAACAAATGTGACATATGTCACACAATACGAACTGATTTAGAAAATTCTACAGGTACCATTTTCACAACAGTGACTAACGAGAAAGCAATGCAGCAACAAATCGCACTGATTATTCAAAAGTATTAACAAAAATCTATAAACCCGAAACGACACCAACTGAACAACAAAAATTCACAATGACGAAGACAACGACACTTTTCCCAACCGCATCAGAACAAACAAAAGAACCGACACATACGCCAAAGACAAATAAAGAAGCATCGACTGAGTCTGACGAAGAAACAAGAGATAGTCCACATTCTCAAACAGAATTAAATGTAGCATCATACAACAACAACAGTACGTATCGTCAATCAACATCAGAATGGATTTGTAATGCGTGCACATTTATCAATTCAATAAATGATAATCATTTCTCTCCATAGATTACTCGAATTTTGAATAAGTGATTCTGAGTTCGTTGTTTTAAAGAACCTGTTTCACATGAAGTGTAAAGTTCAATTTTCAATGCAAAATTTTCATCCGGATTAATATGAGAATTTTTATTTTGTCAAGTAAAATAAAAATAACAAAGTACTTTGAGTTAAAGCAGAAAAAGAATAACAACATAGACATTAGAACTAGGGGTGGCACTTTACCTTTACTTTACTAGTAACTAGTAACGAGATTAGCTACTCGTTACCAGTAACCAAGTAACTAGTGCAGTTGCTCGTTATTGGTAACTAGTAACTGACTAATTTAGTTACTTTGTTACTACTATGCGTTCCAAAATACAAGACAGTCAGCCACTTTTTGAATAACTTTTGATAGGAATGAGATAGAGACCTGCGATTTTCGCTGTTCAATAGCCAAGACTTGAGCAGAAC